AGGTTTAGGTGATTCCGCGACAATATTTTTGATAACCACCGAATAACCTGCCCGTGTTGGAAAATAGGCAATTAGCTAGAAATTGCGTTGTGAGCTACGCGCATTAGATATTCTCGCAACAGACGAGTTGTCACAGAGACAAAAAGAAAATCGTTTCATAAGATTTTATCACAATAACTCAACAACCGTATCAATATTAGCAATTTGGGCACATTTTAAGGATATTTTGATCAAGTTTACCAAAATCACTGAGTTTCTGAGAGCACGTATTGTCCATATCGGAGGGCGAAAAGGGACCTCTTGCGACGGCATCGTCTTCCCCTTCCGACCCTTCTCTTGTGCAGTGGAGCTTGAAGGTATCCGGTACAGTTTTTTGCCCCTAATAATTTTCTTGCCGAACTTATCCTTCTCAAATTTCAGTATATTTTACCTACCATTTTTACAGTCTGGATTCTCGGACACGGAAAAAGTTGCCATGAACATGAAAAATGTCGGCATGAAGATGCGCTTTTCCCGAGCTCCACTTCCGTCGACTTTGAGACATTGATGAGATGAATATTAGTCAATGGATCGTCGGAAAAACACAGAGTGTGCTTGGGGTGAGGTTGGGTGATACGTTTATCCTGGCTAATAGACTTAGCGACTTTATTGTTAAGAGGGAGCCCAGTCTGGTTAGTACTTTGATCAGCTTGATTGTTGTAAGGAATTGAAGTACTATGTATGCTTGTTTTATTTGAGGTCTGAAGAAGCTGTTACCACAGCGAAAGCTTACCAATGAAAATTTCATATCGAGTACTCATTGAATATTGTTGAAGAAGGACCATGGGGTCAGGGATATTTCGATTTTATCTTATCTGGCGAACAGACATCAACTATAATGTAACGGTTTTCGGAAAAATGACTACGGTCGTAGGAACGCGATAGCACTCTGAGTCCAGAAACTTTCAGAATACTCAGAGAATGCGCACCTTCACGACAACATTTTTCATGATAATGGTAACTTTTTTCGGTGTCTGAGGTTCCAATCTCCGTCCGAACCACTGTAAAGAGCAAGTTCTTGTTCTGACATTCAAAAAATAATGCCGTAGAACTCCTCAAAATGTGAAAAATGTAAACGATATGCCGGCCTCGTAGACACTGAAGTTACTTGTTGCGCAACAAATTGCGGACCTTGCACCATATTCAAGGGCAAACATGCTGTTCGTTGCTAATAATAGTAGTTATAACATACAAATATTTGAGAGGAACTGGTCGAGAAAAAAAGGTATGAGCCGAAAACCGTTTGGCCGGATACTTTGAGCGCTACTGTATATGCGTCTGTGCCTCCCTTTCGTCTGCACTCTCGCTCACCATCGCTCACAAAGGTACCGCCCTCAGATATGGACTTCAGTCTCCTTCAAAAGCATTGTCCAGGTCGAAAGCCATTATCGAGACCCTAGCTGCGGTACGAAATATTCATCACCTATAGAGATGTGGCCAATTCCCCAGGAAATCTCGCAAAGGATTTCAATCGCGGTCATTGCTTTTGAGATCTTTGAATGATATGACTAGGGTGGAGCGTCGCTCCCATTTATGATATGTAAAGCTATAATTTGTCAACCCATCATGGAACCGGTAATACTATCGTTGTCGCTCTCCACGAAATCTTTCGAAGAAGCCATGTACCGCACCATGGTGACATTTCGCACACACATCTAAAAGTTGGTTTGTTGTTTTCAACATTCTCACTTCTTATGCTTGTTTCGTAGCCAAAAATTAAACAGCAGAAACCGCTGTGGAGTACAAGGCAATCCAGTCCAGCTTTTTTTTCTATAGACAAAGACAGCCGCTCAGCTGTACTTGTTTCTAGTTTCTCTAATTCAACTTTATACATCAGTAATTGTAAAAAAAACTGGAAACGACAAATAAAAAATATTGAAATCTTGTTAGATCTTGACGATAAGTTCCTATAAGTTTTGGACCACCACCATTTACGTACCATATGACCACCACCACCTACATACCATAAAGCTGAAATAACGTTGAACGTATTGATTGACTCACGGTCCAAGCATATTGCGCACGTATCCGGCTAGGCCTTCACACCGTTGCTTCATGTTCTTACTGCTACTCCACAAAACTACTCCACGAGCTCCGAGATCGGCTGCCTGTTTCAATGAGTTGCACACGTCCTTCTAAAAGTCGCTGTGTTTAGCGGGAGAAATAATTTGTAGAACGTTGGTTCCGTCTAGCGCTGGTGGACTAAAGCGCAGCGGCGGCCGCGTTTTTTACCAACTGTTAAGAGCCAAGCAATGCCATTATTGGTAGAAAACAGTAAGACTGAAGGCGCTTCTCGCTTCACAAGAAGACTGAAGGCGTTCTTATGCTTTTGTTTCACGAGTTTTCACGAGTTATAGCAGAATTCAAGGTGATTATAAGAGCTTCTTGAAAAGAGCACTGGTTTGGCTGAGGAAGCCATTTGTAAGTCCCACTGTTGTTAGCGGAACAGGAGATGAGTTACGTGATTTGTGCTGCGTACCTTTGCATAAAACGAATCCAGATATTGATATGGATTATATTCGAACTTAGTATATGGATACACGTCGATCGGAGGATTCTGCGTTGCTGCGATTCGAGACGATTCCACTAGTATTGCCTGAACAAAGACAGTTAAAGTTTAGGGTGCTATAAGATGAAATAAGATGCGACAACCATGCTGACACTATCTACCAGCAAAGCAAGATGTCCATTAACCGACTCAACTCCATATTTCTGCATCGGAAAGGGAGGCTCCACGGATCTATTGTGTGAGCGCGATGATGGTAGGTAGTTGCCGTTCCAGGAACAAACGCAATTAGTGCATAGGGCATGTGCATAAGATAGCGTGAACAACACAAGATAATCCTATGCCTTTTTACTTAAACCGGTAGCTGTCCGCAGATTGCCACAGCCTCACAACCGCACTTTACAACAAACACGTTCTCATTATGCACAATTTTTTGTTTCTTACAAAGGAATGGTTTGAACTTCCCATGGAACTTTGAATGGAGACCTAGGTACATCGATAGAGCCTCGAATGCTGATTACGAATATGCAGATTAAAAGTGCTACGGGGACCTCCCAGACGAGATCTGGGTGGTCAAAGTTTGAGTTCTGGCTCGTAAGCGCTGCTGGATGCTTCGGCGTGCCACCGTGGCCTCGTGGTAATGGTCTCGCTTTCAAGTCAAACGCATGCGGGTTTGCATCCAGATGGCCATTTGCTCGCTCGTATAAAGCTTCAACGGGCTAATTTTCGAAATTCTTCCGAATTTAGGCCCAGCAGGGCAAGTAGATCAAGTACATCAAGTATACGACGTACTCGATCTAGTATGGATTTGGTCACACCTGCCTTCTCTGAGCATATCACCCATCCAACAATTCGAAGTTTTGCCCAGAATCGCAATTTGGCCAGACGAGCGTTTCTTCGTCGAAGGATGTGATATTCGTGTTCAGGGGTCGAAATCTCCATGATACGAATTCCTCGACTAAACTGTTGAATTGTCGATGGGTAATATGTTCAAAGAGGGCAGATATGACCACATCCATACTAGATCGAGTACTTCGTACACTGTACTTGATCTGCTTGCCCTGCTGGGCCGTAAATTCGGAAGAATTCTGAAAATTAGAGTTGAAGCTGTTATACGGAGCGAAGCAAAAATTTTCGCGCCAACCGGATGCAAACCCGCATGCGCGTTTGACTCGAAAGCGAGACCATTACCACGAGGCACGGTGGCTCTGCCGAAGCATCGATCAGCAGCGTTTACGAGACAGAACTCAAACTTTGACCACCCAGATCTCGCTTCTGGGAGGTCCACGTAGCAATTTTAATCTGCATATTCGTAATCAGCATTTGAGGCTCTATGGATGTACCTAGGTCTCCATTAAGTTTCATGGGAAGTTCAAACCATTCCCTTTTCAATTTGTATCCCGACTTGGGGGGGGATTGCGCTAAGAAACAAAAATTGTGGCATAATGAGTATATTGGGTTGGATAAACGTCCTGCAACACTCCGAACGAATTGTTTTAGAAAAAAACTCGAAATACATCCTAGGTGTTTCTACAGGCGATAGTGAGTAGTGTTCTCCAAGGTTTTTGCAGACGAGTATACTACGGCTTTGTGAAAGCTTTCAGAGCTTGAAGCTCCCCAGGTCAAGCGCTTTTCGACCTGTCCTATATTATTAGTTTCTATAAGGCCAATTTGTCTAGTCGGAAAGGCTACAACCTGCGCTGTCATCAGGAAGGTTGTCACCTGACATTTCACAGTTGTCACCTGACATTTCACAATGTCCGGTCATTCCGGTCGATACCTTGCCGGCGGGCGGCGGCTCTTGACAACGTCCCGCCGGTTTTCGCTAGTACTCGCTGTCTCTTCGACTTCCTTGACTTCTTTCTATTGTGGGACTGCCGAATACTAATTGCTTGTGTCCGTCCCTGTGACGAGGCGTGAAAGTGTTACTTTATGGTGCGTGTTCGCCACATAGTTTAATAAATTTTTGTTCATTCATCGGATCACGATCGATAGATCAACGGTTAGGATCCTGCCCGCTAATCATCCTAGTTCGCTAGCTAGTTTATAATGATTTCCCCGTCTCGTTCGTCATCAGTTCCAGTGAAACGTTCGCGTGAGGTCGTCTCGCCACAAGTCTCCAATTCGGCACAGAATAAACTGCAGAACTACCGTTTCGACCATGACCCTATATGAAGGTGGGTATTGATGTATCAGTCAACATAAGGCGCGAGCTCCTCGACATCATGAGAAAAAACGACGCGATTCAGGAGGAAAACCCGAAGCACAGGGAGGAAAACTGTTTTTTTTTCGAAGGTGTCACTCAGTATCCTAATAATCATGCAAATGATGTTTTGATGATCCTGACATGATGTGATCTATTCTTGTTACGGGATTCCCTGGATGTAACGCGGAAAAGTCTCAGAAGGCAGTTAATAATGACGCCTGTTGTATCATTCATTGCTTAACTTTCTGGATGTCGAATGCCTTCCTATTTCGCTCTACAGTATGGGAAGAGAGATCCACAAAAGCCAAGGCTCATAAAGTGATTCTACCTAGTAGTAAACTCGAGAAAGGTTTAACGGCAGGCTCCTCGCCTGCGCTTCTTCTTTCATAAAGGAGTTTTCATACGCCTTTCACTCCCATTGGAAGAGGGGAAGCGCAGGCGAAAGGCCTCGTCGCCAAAATAACTCTCAAGCGACTGATCGGGATGTGCTGCCTTCTAAACAACTAGCGTTCCATCGGTTTTGGGTTTCTTGCCTTCTGACCAATATACATTCACTTCACAAAAACGCTATTGCCTTGGCGTGTTACTTAGCTAAATCTGAGTATAGTACTGTTGCTATAATTGAGAGTCTCAAATCTAAGATCCTAGTAGAGTCACTTTTGGGGGATCTTTGTCTGGCTACATTATTTCCAGGTGTGATAGAAAAAGAAAAAAGAGTGGAGGTGTGACTTCACTTGTGAAGTAGACTTTGTTTCCCAGCCTGGTTTTCTCTGAAAGCATAGCGGATGGTTATGAGACCCTGGCTCTCGATCTTCATTGTTCTGAATCTTCGTTTGGACTGATTTCAGGGCATGGAACCCTTAAGTGTGGTTCAGAAAAGACTAAACAGATGACTGAATGTATAAGTGATCTTACTTCATGTCAGGCTACCTGTCTCCCTATGGGAGATTCCAACTTTTCCGATATAGCGTGATCTTCTAAACCCTGTGCTCAATCCCCTCACACAGAGACGTTTCTTACCATGCTTCTTAATCATGAGTACTTTCAATTGTCGATTTTTGTACTTAGAAGTCGAAGCCTTCCTTGATCTCATTCTTTGCAATAACAAATCCGCTATTCGCAATTTGGAGTTGAGTGCACCGTTAGGCAGTAGCGATAACGCAGTAATCACTCTCGATCTCAAATTTCTGTTCGTGCAACCAGAGTTGTGCTCAGACATGATTTCAAGAGCGGGAACTACCTCAGTGTGCTTTCATACCTGTCTAGTATCAACTGGATCGGGTGCTTCAGTGGATGCAAGGACACCAGTGAGATGTAAGAGTTGCCTTTTATTTGTTCTCAGGCATTGTAATCAATTGTTTATCCCACAATTCCTTTCAGGGAAGGAATTTGAAGCCCTATCTGCACAGTCTTTCTACTAAGAAATTTCTGCTTACAAAAGACCATGTGAAGTAACGATTCACAGGATTGGATGACCTACAAACTTCTGTCCCAGAAATTTGAAAAATTCTGGGATAGAAGTTTGTAAGTCATCCAAAAAAATTGTCTTTATAAGCTTAATTGTGCTGTTGAGAGAAAAATAGTGGGGCGCAAAACGAATCTTCCCTTTATAATAATATGAAGTCTCGGGTATATTTCAGAAGCACAATTTCTACTCCTCTTAATACAAGTGGATTGCTTGCTATTGCTGATATCGACAAGGCGAAAACTTTAGCTGGTGAGTTTCAAAAGGTATATGTAAAATATGATGACGCCTTTGCAGGATCTCTTCTGGAGTCCATGTTCCGCAACATGGAAAGCCTAGGAGCTATTTAGAGGCGATGATATTCTCAAATTCCGTCTTGAATGGCGCTCTAGCTTCTCTCATATTCCTGGCGGTATACCTTTCATTTTATCAGAAATTCGGTGCTAGTTCCTTCCAGGTGGAAGCATTCTTTTGTTTCACCCCTGCTCAAGAAGCCAACCCAATAATCCCAGTTGGCACGTTGCGTAGAAAACGCCATGTACGGCTCTCCATGAACCTCGGCATTGTGATGATAGTGAGATATCCTGGTTGAAC